GGCCATAATCGGAAAATACCTTGAAAATCAGAGTTTTTTTTGCAACCTAGCTCTAGAAGCTGCTTCTAATTCTAAATATCCTTCAAAAAGTTTTACATGAAGTTTAGGAAGAAGTTTGTTCAAGATATTCTTATTTTGAGTTGCTTTTACATCATCCTTAACACATGTTTGATTATCACCGCCAAATACAATACTTCTCCGATCAGATGAAAGTGCCCAACCACTCGCATGCAAATTTACTGATAGTCCTGAGGGAATAGAAAGTGAAAGGTATGAATAAAATTTTCCATTTTGTATATTGTCGTTTAATGTCAATGGAATTTCGGGCCTCTCAGGAACCAATATAGCTACTCCACCCCATGTGCCTAGTCGGTTTAGTGAAAAATCATTTTTTCCTGAACTTATGAGCCATGTTTTCTTTTCCGGTTTCCTTTCTGCAAAACTGAACAATCTCGTTCTATCAGAAAATTGAACATCAAGCTTAAATACCTGCGACTCTTTTCCATATAATTTACGAAGTTCACTATTTTTTGTGACTTCAACTTTCCATAAGAGCGTTGGATTACTTTCCTTGCTAGTTTTTCTAAAAACTTCGAAAGATTTTACATTGCGTAGAAAAATCAATTCTGACATTGCTTCTTTCTTTATCATGTTTAATAATTCGATAACCTTTTCAATATTATCTACATTATCCGAAATAGAACTTTCCATTCCATTTTGTCTAAGCGGCAATCTAAATAAAGTTCCCTCGAATTCTGTATTATAATCAATTTCGAACCCGCAACCGTTAATTTTCTTAAAAGATTCAAACTGATCTTCAAATTTATTGAAGACGTGATTTTCATTATAATCATCGAAATCAAATCTAGCACCACTACTATTTAAATATTTTTTTTGAGAAATATTCTTAGGGTACGTATATAGTAAAAAATAATTAAAAAAAAAAATTAAAAAAAAAAAATTAAATAAAAAAAATTGAAAAAAAGAGACCATATTTCAAATCCGATCCAGGATAAGTGAATGATTTTTAATTATTTTCTGAAGCTTTTGGAAGTGATCTTTGACAATAATAGAGTTGGCTCTTTGGGTTCATGCTTCTTTTAAGGCCTGTGAGACATGAAATAAAAGCTCTGGGTGGTCTCTCATGAATCATTTCCACTATGATTAACCTGGTCTACTTTCTTTAAAGGGATGAAAACTATTACTTCAGCGAACAATATCCATTACGCATTGGTTCACCCTGATCTTGTCAATCTGAAGCCAAGCCTCAGCATATTCAAACAATAACCGACAAGTTACTGTTCTTCATAGTTGGTTAAAACTTTGGCAGAACCTGGACGACCAGGGGCCACCATTTTTAATAGACGTTTTAAAGTAGTTTCTGGGATATTATATTTTTTTGCAAGACTTTTATGACTTGGTGGCTTAGGATTGGTTAGAGAATTATTTAGTTCTTTAAGGGCACTTGAAATCACATTTTGTTTTACAGATTGGTTGCTATATGACGTTATTTTTTTTTTAATAAGCTTTACAGATTTATAGAATATATAGTATCAATTTATAAGATCTAGACTATTTATTATGATTTTTATTAAGAACACGCAAACAGGTATGATTTAGCTATATTATTATTCATTAATACGTAACATTTATTTTTTTTTTTTATCAGCTTTTATTATG